ACTTTCTGTGTTAAATTTCCGATGTTTTTTCATGTCTTTCCTTCAACTTTTATCGTATCTTATCATATTTTATCATCTTTTATTCCTTTCCATAGCTTTTTCCCTAGATTTTTCCTCTTTCGGAACCGGGTCCCGGCCGCGGCCTCGCGGGTGGTCTCCTGCAGAGCCGCCTCGGCACTGATCATGGCATCGCGCAGTGCCAAGTGGGCAGCGATGAGACTCGTGGGCGCCTCGGGTGACGGACGGAGATATCTACTGTGAAACATATGGGGGTACCCCAATAGCTGGATGGTTCATGGAAAATCCTGTTCAAGTGGGTGATTTCGGGATGCCCGTATTTTAGGAAACCCCCATATATCACATGGATGGAGATAGTATGAATATGGCTATGGAACCTATGGATATAGTATGAAGTATGGTGGTGTGATATTGATATTTATCATATCCAGTAGATAACCCCGTCTATGATGGTGTAGATAAATTGGCGTAAATAGGCATCATATGACATGATGTGATATAGTATGGGTATATCCAATGTGTTCAGTATGGATATAGCATGTGGATATGGAATGGATATATCATGGTTAAAACATGAATATAGAAAAATATGATATGTGATATGTATGAAAATACGGATGTATATGTTTCACAAGCCATATGAACAAATTCTGGATATAGTATGGACCGTATATGTATCCGTGAGATATGGATACGAAATGATGGATAACATTGATAGTAATGAATACAGAATGGATATAGTATAGATATAGTACATATGCATCTCCAGTATCACTACTTTACAGTATGTATATACGATGATTGTCCATCCTATATATACATATACATATGTAAAGACACAAAGAATCAGGATTCCTAAAGTTGGGGATACTAACCGTCATTGATATCAGGAATAGATGATAGAATCATGATCCTTATATGGTTGATACCCAACAAGGGGATAATATATTAGATATAGTAACTCCCGAAAAGGTGCAGAAACGACATTACTTGTTAGTGAGAACCCTCTCTTCTATCCTTTTGGAGGTTGCTTTCACAATCACCATTGGTATAGCTGGGGTAGTATAGTGTATGGACAATACAAAAGAATATATACAGAATGCCAGGTTTATAATCAGCACAATCCAAAATATCGGTTAACACTCTCTTATGCTTAGTAGCAAAAAACAATTCCATAACCACAATGATTGGTTTATAACTTTAGGTCTGATTTGTATGGTGGATACTTGGTGGTATACTTTAAGCTGTAGATATTCTCCCGAATCAGGATGAAGATGCTCATCATTAGTATAAGAAATCATTAGTATCACGGGTATAGGATATGTCTATACATCTGATAGATAACTGAGAAAAAATTATCCACAACATAACAATAAATATTTGTACATGAAGATATGTCACTGCAGAGATCTACCTGTCCCCCAGCTGCTGGGTGACCTTCAACATCGCTCGGCCAAGGTCCTCCTGGCTGATGATGGAAGCTCATCCAAGCGAATTTTGCATGGTTGCTAGATGTTAACAGCCAGGTTAAAATATGTACCTGCTAATCAAGCTTGACTGGCTAGAAAATCATCTATAAATAGAGCCCTTAGTGGAAGAAATCCCCTATAAATGGGGGATCAAAAAACAATCGCTATGTTTGATTAGCTGGGGGTAAAATGCTGGTGGTTCATGATTCTTCTTTGGGGATGGTAAATACCATGACTTACCAGAAAATCATCCTAAGTATCTGGGATTGGATTGGATGTCAGAATGGTCAACGACCCTACGCGTTGGTGGGCCCATCAAGGTACGTCAATTCTTATCCATACCCTGAACCAATTTGGCAGTTTCAATGTATTTCAAAAAATATACTAATCAAGTCAAAGACGCTGTTCTTTGGTCTACATCAATATCCACGTTGCTGGGTGAGATGAAATTCTTCTGAACTTTTTATGTTCTTGACCCAACCATGGATCAAACCTGGTCTGCGGAGTGTCATGCTCATCCATCCCTCCACCCCATTCGGCTGGTCCCATAACTGTTGATCTGCCGTTCCCATTTTTGGTTCGTAACAATCCTGAAATGAAAGTGGTGATATCCCAAACATGGTATTGTTTGATATTGACCCCCATGCAATTATCCCCATCATGTGTGACAATTTATGTGATAGGTGACCATGTTTGTTGCCTAACAATCCATTTGCTGTTGGTTGGATCCTCTTTTTGCTGGCTTAACCCCCAATCTGTCTGTCAAGCATAATTTTGTTGTTTTTCCGGCTAATTCACCTGCACTTTTAAGCATCACAATCCTTACTGAAAAATGCTCACATTTTTCACACATTCTCCTCATGTTTTTTTCCTGATAAACGATGATAAATTCATCATTTGGCCGCAAAACCAATGTTTTTTCCGCAGGATGCAACACCGGCGCCTGCCAGCTCAAAGAGGTCAACTCCGATGGCGCCGCGACTGCTGGCAGGACCGCGGGGCTCGGCGCGGCTGGCGCAGCAGGCGCGGCTGGCGCAGCAGGCGAGGCCTGGTGCGATCCCGGAGAATAAACCAAGCATTGCATGATACACTTGACATCACTTGACTTACCTTGACCATTTACAAAAATTGAAAGTCGATTGGGATCATCATCTCAAATGGAACGAATATATAAATACTTGAAGCTGCCAATCAACATCTTTTCAAAATGGGTTGGGAGTTTCTTTCTGTTTCCTGGAAAGTAGCAAAGCATTGACCTTGGCACGCTTGTTTTTCTGAAAAGATTTGCACAAGATATAGTAACTCCCGAAAAGGTGCAGAAACGACATTACTTGTTAGTGAGAACCCTCTCTTCTATCCTTTTGGAGGTTGCTTTCACAATCACCATTGGTATAGCTGGGGTAGTATAGTGTATGGACAATACAAAAGAATATATACAGAATGCCAGGTTTATAATCAGCACAATCCAAAATATCGGTTAACACTCTCTTATGCTTAGTAGCAAAAAACAATTCCATAACCACAATGATTGGTTTATAACTTTAGGTCTGATTTGTATGGTGGATACTTGGTGGTATACTTTAAGCTGTAGATATTCTCCCGAATCAGGATGAAGATGCTCATCATTAGTATAAGAAATCATTAGTATCACGGGTATAGGATATGTCTATACATCTGATAGATAACTGAGAAAAAATTATCCACAACATAACAATAAATATTTGTACATGAAGATATGTCACTGCAGAGATCTACCTGTCCCCCAGCTGCTGGGTGACCTTCAACATCGCTCGGCCAAGGTCCTCCTGGCTGATGATGGAAGCTCATCCAAGCGAATTTTGCATGGTTGCTAGATGTTAACAGCCAGGTTAAAATATGTACCTGCTAATCAAGCTTGACTGGCTAGAAAATCATCTATAAATAGAGCCCTTAGTGGAAGAAATCCCCTATAAATGGGGGATCAAAAAACAATCGCTATGTTTGATTAGCTGGGGGTAAAATGCTGGTGGTTCATGATTCTTCTTTGGGGATGGTAAATACCATGACTTACCAGAAAATCATCCTAAGTATCTGGGATTGGATTGGATGTCAGAATGGTCAACGACCCTACGCGTTGGTGGGCCCATCAAGGTACGTCAATTCTTATCCATATCCTGAACCGATTTGGCAGTTTCAATGTATTTCAAAAAATATACTAATCAAGTCAAAGACGCTGTTCTTTGGTCTACATCAATATCCACGTTGCTGGGTGAGATGAAATTCTTCTGAACTTTTTATGTTCTTGACCCAACCATGGATCAAACCTGGTCTGCGGAGTGTCATGCTCATCCATCCCTCCACCCCATTCCGCTGGTCCCATAACTGTTGATCTGCCGTTCCCATTTTTGGTTCGTAACAATCCTGAAATGAAAGTGGTGATATCCCAAACATGGTATTGTTTGATATTGACCCCCATGCAATTATCCCCATCATGTGTGACAATTTATGTGATAGGTGACCATGTTTGTTGCCTAACAATCCATTTGCTGTTGGTTGGATCCTCTTTTTGCTGGCTTAACCCCCAATCTGTCTGTCAAGCATAATTTTGTTGTTTTTCCGGCTAATTCACCTGCACTTTTAAGCATCACAATCCTTACTGAAAAATGCTCACATTTTTCACACATTCTCCTCATGTTTTTTTCCTGATAAACGATGATAAATTCATCATTTGGCCGCAAAACAAATGTTTTTTCCGCAGGATGCAACACCGGCGCCTGCCAGCTCAAAGAGGTCAACTCCGATGGCGCCGCGACTGCTGGCAGGACCGCGGGGCTCGGCGCGGCTGGCGCAGCAGGCGCGGCTGGCGCAGCAGGCGAGGCCTGGTGCGATCCCGGAGAATAAACCAAGCATTGCATGATACACTTGACATCACTTGACTTACCTTGACCATTTACAAAAATTGAAAGTCGATTGGGATCATCATCTCAAATGGAACGAATATATAAATACTTGAAGCTGCCAATCAACATCTTTTCAAAATGGGTTGGGAGTTTCTTTCTGTTTCCTGGAAAGTAGCAAAGCATTGACCTTGGCACGCTTGTTTTTCTGAAAAGATTTGCACATAGTTGTACGACTTCAGAATGGGCTACCAATGAACTGGGCGTCAATAATTTTGAGCCAATATTCATATTGACATCAACGGTGGCCTTGCGGCACTACCTTTTTGTTGCAGGACCTTAGAGACGGTGAACGAAACATCCTTTACCCCCCCTGCGGCAGAACGGCAGAACGGATGGAGTGCCAGTTTTTCCGGAAAATCTGAAGATGCTGTGACCCGGTGCTGGGTGAGAGGCTAGACATGGCTAGACTCGAAGTGATACACGCCTTTGGAACTGATTGTGTCTTGGAGCAATGGGGGTTCACCACGTAACCGGTCAGCAGCGTGGGGTGAGACGTCGGTGAGACGTTGCTTGTTTTTTTCATGATGACCTCATAAAACATAATAAGGTCTAAAAGCTCTGTATTATTTCATGTGTTTATCTCAAACATGAGCTCCAAACATAGCTACTTCTCATCCTCACTTGGAGCCTGTGCAGCTTTTTCAGGCCTGGCAGGGTCAAGCTGATTTTGTGCCCGGTTTGAGCCATTTCCGGTTGTGCCTCAGGGACATAGCCCTTGCCAGAGATGTAGCTCAGCTCTTTCTCCATCATTTTGCCTTGCGAAGATCGAGACAGATGCGGAGAAAGTGCTTCTTGGCCCCCCAAAATCTGCTTCGACTGCGTCGGGAAACATTCCAAATGGGTTCAACCACGTTATTTCGAAGTCAATCTTGGCACCAAATCACGCTAAAGTTGCTAAAGCGGGTATGAAACCTTTGGCTCATCCAAAATGACAACCCTCGCTGAACTCTGACCCACTCTGGGTCCTTGCATCGAAACTCATGACCCCGCAGAAACTCCAACAACTTAGCTCAACTTGCAGTTGTCTCAAAACCTGGACTGCTCTAAAAAAAAACATGGCATTTCTCATCACTTTCATTCACTTTCGGCATTGACATCACCATAGCATGGGGGTAGCGATGGCCATGGCACTGTTCCGCTTCACCAACTCGGCCGAGCATGCAATGAGCCGCTGCTTCCTGGGCACCCATCAATCGTATTTGATTTTTTGGCATGGCTAAAAAGCATCCAATTTCTCGGGTAGCACAAGTTTAAGACCTCCACTTTTCTGGTGCATAATGGAAGTGGCTAAGTGTCATTGCGAATGGGCGGAAGACTCTTGAGTTGCGGTGATACAATTTGCAATGAAAAGCACACGTATCTCATGTGTATTCTGCCAATTTTCACCTTTATTGCAGAATCCCTAGATGTCATAGTAGATCGTAATCTGACCATCCAGAACGCAACTTCGGACCATTTTCGTTGTTCAAAAGGACCGATTCGGATGGATTAGTCCGCCGATCGAAAATGCCTACCAAAAGAACATGGTACATCCACGTCCTTTGACTCCTTAAGTTCCTCAAGTGACTTTCCAGAGATTTGGCTGGACATGGGCTATAGCGGCTATATCCCAATCTATTGTAATTTTACTAGGTGCAGGATGAGAAACCAATGGATGTTGGGGGCGTGCTCGATTCTTGGGCAAAAAACATCGTTTGTGATGTGGTAAGCCCAATGCCACGACAGATACCGCATTGACCTAACTTTAGAATCTAGAGGGTATAGAAAATGCAAAAGGGGATTTCTATGTAAGCACGTTCAATAAGACATGTTATTTTTCGGATGCTCGTTAAATAACAATCATATCAGGCATTGATACTTTCTTGTCAAGTGATTTTTTACGGCATTTGGTGAACCTCCAAATTGAAACCATTGGCGAGCCATTGGCAAACTATTGGAAAATAAAGAGACAACCAGAAGTACACCATTAAAAGTAATCATTAATTAAAAATCAAAAGGCAAAAAAATCAACTTCTGGTTGTTTCATCATTTTCCAGAAAATTTTGGAATTCTGCATCAAAACATCGGTGTTGGTCCGAGGCTCAAGGCCTCGGAGGAAATGGCGAAGCAACTTGTGAGCTCCGTGAGGATGTCGCGGCGTCGGGGCACCAGGAACTGGTCCGAGTCCTGACGCGTGTACCCTATTGCCATGAATAAAGGACTAAACACACAAGGTCTGAAAAACATAGCACCAGCACAACAAAGAACCATTCCCTGCATCGCTTGTCGATGTTCATGGTTGCGGTTTCCAGGATGGAAAAAAACTGTGTTGCATCCCAGTGTAACCTTGTATGGCAAACAACTAACTCATTGAACCCAACCAGCATATTCCCGGGGGTCGGGGTTTGGAAGAATTTCGGGGGAATAATTACAGTACGTCCTTCCAGTAGATATGGAATATCAACTACTTGGAGGTGGAAACCATGGATTTTCCCGGGTTTGTCCTTCCCCATTCTCAAACACACAGAGATTTATCTAGCTATAGCCTATCAAACCCTGCCGCTGGCTCCAATGTGCCACAACTATTGGATATGATTGGCAGATCATTCCTTTGTTCAAAACTAGGGAACCTGCATATCCAGTGGTTTAGCATCATTTTTCGCATATCAAATCGTTGTTTTCCGAACACTGCATTTATGGGCAAACCCATGTATCATTCTTGTTTTGTATTATGCTAACAATATATGACATCATTACCATGTTTATAATTATATACATACAAATGCGCACATAAAAATTGCTAATCATAATCAGTTTGGATGTACCCCATTAACCCCTTGTATCATTGGATGGTACGATGCAGCAGAAAGCCAAGGATTTTTGGCATGTCATTGTTGCTGGATTATTCTACCCCATACCATAATATTTCCCGCCAAAGCGGCCATGAAATACAATACAATGAGGTGTAAATAATGCCTGGACAGACCCAATAACACTACCAACATTGGGACCGAGGCATACTAGGCAATGCCTGCGGATCACTTGCAACAATATCCGCAAATACCATTGGATGTATCCTTAAATATTTCTCAGGTGATACTGTCTTCAGGAACATATCCCAACGAATATTCCATATGTGGCCGGTATCTCTCCCACTATACCACCCACATTCCAATAAATAATCCCAACTGTTTCCCATCTCAAGTTTTAAGCTGGTATGTTAACCCCATTTATCTAAAGTTTTATATAATAACCATAAACTCATCAGTTAACATGTTTCTTCACCGAAGGTAAACAACCTATAAACCAACGTAGCTACCTATGGACGCCACCTGGCACATAAATTCCTGCAAACCACTTAGAAACTGAAATATTCTCATTTATCAGCACTGTTGTTAGCTAAATCCCTCCCAAACCCCATGAAAAATCAGCATGTTTGTTGCATTTTCTCAAAACAAAGTGAACTATCCCAAAAGTCATCCCACATTCGACTTCTTCCAGAGAAAATGCTCCATGCCTCTTGCGATGCGCCAGGAGCTCGACCCAAGACCACGCAGCTGATGTTCCTGTAGCAGAACACCGAAACCATTTTTCTGGAAGAATGAAGATTATGCTTTCTAAATCTTTCTAATAGGTGTGTATGGTGAAATTCCTTCATACGATATAGAGTCTATAGAGTCTGATGATGTGAATCATATGAACTCTACGGACTTGAATCTGTGGGAATTGAATTGAGTTTTTTAGTAGCAAAATCTGTACTTTTGGTGGGACAAAACAGGGGAAGGTTGTTTCCTATGAAAACCAAGGAAAAAACTTGCGTACTGTAGTTGCCACTACATATGGGAATGAAAACTATATGGGATGAATTGGCAAAAAAGGAAATATATGGGATTGAAATTATACAAATGTCTGGGGGCTGTCTGTAGTGTGGTTGTGATGAAGTAAACATGAATGTCTTGTGGATTTCTTCAAAACACGTTTCACCAATGTACCCACTAGTCACCTACGTCTGTAGCAACCCATTGATCTACCCGGTAGGTACCTGAACCGTACCTCCCTGGTGTTCGAATCTGCGCAATCCCCAGGAAACTTCGCCATCATCCAGGCCAAAAATCAAAACGAAAACAAACAAAACCATGAGTGAGACAGACGAACACAAACAATTTTTATGTTGACCTGGATGGTTCGAGAATAGCGACATTGGAAAACAATTGAACAGGGACAAACTGAAACTCCGTGGGCAAAACACGTTCCAAGCCAACCACATGGGTTTGTCCCGAATGAAGGCAACCCAAATCAAGTAGTTTCATCATCATATTCCAGAGTGAAACCGCAATAAAGTACTACACAATAAACGAAACCGTGAAAAAAACATGACAGACATGCATTATTGGGCGGAACATCAAAATGGCAAATGGATGTTCATCGCCTTGCCGAGTTACATGGATGTCAAAAGCTCGTCAGTGACATTCCACGGAGCTCCCAGCACCACATCGTCCACCCATCGCATTGACAAGACCTGGTTGGCAATTTGGGATTTGATGCTGTTCCGGTATGACCCGGCCTGACCATTTTGAACGAGAAAGTGATGATAAATCACAGGAATTTCAAGGTGACTGATTTTTCCCGAAAGCACCAGAGAAGGGTTCTTTCTAAAGAGCGGCTGCCAACAAAAACTGTCGTCACCATCATCATGATGATCATCATTATGATGATCATCGTCATCATCATTATAATCATCGACTTTACAATCGGAATCATGATGAGCATGAACTCATGAAGTCATGAACTCATGAACATCATTATCTTCATCATCGTCATCATCGTCAACATTATTATTATCATCATCATCCTCATCATGACATCATGACATCATGACATCATGACATCATCACCATCATGACATCATCATCATCATCATCATCATCGCATCACCAGCATCATCATTACATCACCAGTATCATCATTAGCGTCATCATCAAAATCATCATCATCCTTGTAAATCATCATCATCACCACATCACCAGCATCATCATCATCATCATCATCATCACCAGCATCATCATCATCATTAACATCAAAATAATCAAAATCAAAATAATAATCATCATCATCCTTGTATCATCACATCATCACATCATCACAACACATATCATCATCATCATCATCGTCGTCGTCGTCGTCGTCATGGCCATTGTCTTCGTCATCATCATCACCATCATCGCATCATCATCGTCACCGTCATCGTCATCATCATCATCATCATCAGTGTCGTCGCCATCATCATCATCATCATCATTGTCATCATCGTCATCATCGTTAACACCATCACATCACCAGAAAGCACCTGCAACTTCAAATCTGCAGTGGCACTGTTTGAAGCAAGTGACAGAACCTTCCAGTGGGAGGAACTTGTTGTGCACACACGTACAATCTATGCAGGTGCAAAGATGCAGGTGTATAGATGCAGGTATGTGAATGCAGTAGCGAAAAGCACCTACAACCTTAGACATGCAGATGTAAAGATGCAGTTGCAAAGGATGCCTGCAACTTTTTTTGTGCCTGTGTCCAGCTGCAGGTCTAGAAAATGCAGTTGCACAAGACACCTACAACTTTGCAAATGGAGGTGCGTGCATGCAGTGTAAAAACCTTCTTGAAAGGCAGCAGCACAGTGCGGATCGATTCTAGCATTTTTTTTTGTAGAATGTACTTTTTGAGGTGTCGCAGGCAGCCCTCTTGAACGAGATTCATCAATCTTGCCAAACTGTAGCAGAAACAGCGTGTCCCAGGCAACCCTCTGGCACGGAACGTGCTTCGATCGCGTGAAACCGTGAAAGGTCATTTGGATGTGTCAAAATCAACCCTCTGACACGAGATGCCTGTCGATCGCGCCAAACTGCAGTACATGCTGAATTTTTTCCCGGTATCCTGTCCCGCACGAAATTCGTGCCGACAGCATGCAAGTGTGGTAAAACCCCGCGCAACCCTGGCACAAAATGTGCGCCAATTGCGCAAATCTCTAGTAAAATGTGGATGTTGAGCTGGCGAGGTGTGCATCTTGATACTGTGGTAAAAAATGTGTGTACAAGTTATTTGCATCTGGTGTATGCTAAGAGAAAACATTGCGAAGTAACAATGGGTAAATAATGTGTTGCACTGTTCAGTAACATGGCCTACAAGTAGCATTTTTCAAAAACATTCCACAGTGACCCTGGCAAGCAGCATGCAAATTGCCAAACAGCAGGCCTAGATGTTGCAACTGTGGCGAAAATCTTCGAAAACTTGGGAAGCCTTCACCAGGTCTTAACATATATGGTGCCCCAAAATTGTAAGCACTTTTGTGGAGAGCCACTGCAACACTGCAAGAGGCTTAAAATCATAGCAAGCCATTACGAACCAAGATGTCTTGCTTCAGATGATGCTCCGATGCGAACGGGTGAAAAAGACGTGACCCTTCACCAACATCACACCATTATCATCATCAGCTTCATCTTCACCGTCTTCATCATCATCATCATCATCATCGAACTTGGAAGGAACCCGTGTCTGTTTGTGTGTAACTCCTTTGTAGATGGAGTATTTGATGTTAGTCTCCTGGTTTCCTTTTGTACCAAATTTTGTCTAGTGTTGGCATAGACAAATGGTGCTACATGGTGAGGTCATGAAATAGTTATGGTGGGTGAAGATGATGAGGTCGTGGTGGCTTGCCTGGTGCCTGCGCTCTGAAACGAAATCAGGGTAAAATTGTTTTGGCTTGCAGAGTTCCGGTTTCATTCCGCCCTGGTACTGTATTTGTTTCCGCACGCAACTAACCCCATTAAAATCATCCAAGATGGGCCAAGACACTGCCAGTGCCCGCTCCAACAGTGTCAGAACAGGCGGTTTGCCATGGTTCCTGTGAACTGTCACAGTCTCGTCTGAGTATAGACCGACTAGCCTCAGAAGATCGCCCCCGCGTGGCAGGAAAGGTGCCGAAACGCTTTTGGATTTCAACTCCACGTCATCGCAAATTCAAGCGCGGGCAAACCAACTGCTTTCCTTCCTAGTTTCCTCCCTTCTTGGTGGTCAACCCCAGTTACCGTGCAAGGTGCGCGCCGGATTCTAGAAAGAATAAGCTGAGGTAAGCCGAGTTGGAACAGTTCTCATCTCATCGGAGACACAGCAACCTCTGTTTGAATGTGGAATGGATGGTTCCTGTTTGAATCTTGAAAGGTCTGTCCCGCCTTCGCTTCATGTCGTCCGTGCAGCGAAACTTTGAACAAAACATAAATACATCCGAGTCCACTGCATGAGCATAAACATGAACATCAACATTCACACGAACATGATGAAACATATCATAACAAGACAAAGTTTGCGGCTACACATACACATGACATAATCTAAGACAGAGGAACAGGGATAAACCAAACACAAAACATATCCATAATACAGGTCCAAAGACGAAACATGCACATTTTACATTATCTCACTGGCTTGCCCGGGCTCTACTGGTATAACATTCACATTGCAGCACACTATACATGCCAATACATATATGTATATGCACGTACAAAGAAACACACACACACACATATATATACATATATATATATACACAACTACACACGTATTTAGCAGCAAGCACCGATGAGAGAGGGAAACATGAAGTCATCTTCAACAAGCCATTCAACTCAATCTCCCACAGCACCCGCAAATTCGGTGCACCAAGTGCCATGATGCCAACCAAAGGCTGGTCTCGTTTGATTCTTTTGTGGGGACACTAAGCTGGCACACAGGTGAATTAAAGTCTCAGTTTTTCTTCCGGCTTGGGTGATACAAATGCACACAAGACTCAATGAAATATGGATATTTGATGGATATTTGATATTTTGGATATGCGTCAGGGGAGAACTGTCTTGCTCCAAAAGTAGTGGGCCCAGAGGATCCTCTTGAGAAAACGGCGGTGGAGATATTGGAGCCATCACTTCGCACCATCGGGCCACCAGATGCAGTTTTCCATCTCATGGTTGAAAAAAACATGTTCGGAATTGAATTCGTTGTCATAGTTCTAAACAAAAAAGGGAGGAACCTACTGGGCCAGAAACTGTAAAAAACTGCTGCAGCCCCAGCGTAACAGGTTTGGCTACCGAAGGAACTGCCTGCGATAGTCATCCAAAAAAGATTGGCGGGCTAGGTTAATGTGTGCGTGTGATATATATCACTTTTGACAAAAGATGACTTGGTACTACCCGTCCAGTTGGGAAGAATCACAGGACTTCCAGGGGAACATTTTGGCCTGGGCCTTGGCCCAAAAAGCATCGCCTCTTTTGTATGAAAATGGGGGTGGACACCAAATATTGCAATTTTAACTGGGAGAAAAAGTATGGAATATGATGAATTTGTGGATTAATTCGTGGAATTTAGTGGTGCCCCGAAAGTCCGTTTTGTTCCCGCCAGGGCACAGAAAGTCACCCAGCGTTGCGGCTTGTCGCAAGATACCTTGTGGGGTAGCCAGGTATCACAAGATTCTGCGGGTACCACAACCAGAGTGTTATCCCAAGGATTAGTAACAAAACCTGAAAAGTTACGAACATCATCAGAGCTCCTCATTTCGAATTAGTTCATCTCAAAAATTTCATGCAGTGGCAAGGCACATTGCGGTGGAACTTGATGGGATTGCAAACACCTAACTGGTGATACAAGTACCCCCTTTGCTCGTCAGGGGGCATTGTTTCAACTTGGGTTGAAGACAGCATACACCTCACATTGTTATCCCAATTACACATGACAAATTTCGGCTGATTTTGAGCCTTCTCACGATGAAACACACCGCAATAACCATGCTTAACCAATTTTTTACCCTTGAAACGCGTGAAGGTTTGGATCCGCTCCAAACCCGCCAACTTCGGCTAAAGCCACTCACATGCCCTGGATGGATCAGGTCGAAAATGCCTGGAACCTGGGTAGCTGGTTGTTCATGGGTCCTGTGCACCATCTCACAACGGGCGTCAGTTTGAACCAAAGGGGGGGGGGAACATCATCTGGGCCTTGGTGTAAGTTAACCAAACCCGAAAATTCGCAATTCTTGGGAAAACCCTAGATTTGGTTGAAGGGAGAATAATTTACAGGAAACCTGCATATTCAAAGGAAAACCATAGTTCCTTGTAGACTTGTGCTCAAATCAATCCGTTAAGATATTTTCGCATACTTCACCATCTGCTATGGAGAGGCTGGTCAGTGAATGGACATCCTGCAAAAACGCCTTGGATGACAGTAATCGCAATTGATCGCTCTCCAACTGTGGCAAACTACGGGATGACCGACATTCCATTCTGGTCATGGATTGGACCAGCTTGGTGTACTGCATAGAAATGGTATGAAAATGTAAAAATGTATAAACATGTATCATTTCATATCGTCTCTCATCATTTTTCCGTAGCATATCTGATGTTTGGGTGGCCTTGGGCCGGCTGCATCCAAGTGGCATAGACCACCCGCTTGGCAGCAGTCAGCTGCTTGGGTGGCCTGGACCCAGAGCTGAGGTCATTCCCCGGCAGTTTTAACCCCCCATAAAACACATGTGATTCACCGACCAAATTTTTGAAGCTTAGCTACGGCTTGAACGCAAGCCAACACACAAAACCAAGGTTGACCCAGGTTGGGCAAGAACGGCGCGTTGGATGTGACGAATTCTTCTCTTTGCCATACGAGCTTGATCCAGCACATCCGTCATGCTAAGCATTTTTCAGTCCCAATTTGCCAAATATGTTGTTGGAATTTGTTGGATATCTTTGCATTTCTGTTACCACCTCCCTCAAAATTTCCTACAGTGGGGCAAGAATCTGTTGGTAGAGCGTGTCCACTTTGCTTATATTATAGTCCATCTGTCATACTCATTCTCAGTTAATGAATCCCTCAGATAATCGCCAGACTTTGTTGGTGAAATTCTATAAATCTGCAGCAGGCCTGAATGACATGATCAAAACAGATTTTTTCAGGCTCCATCTCCTTCAATTCTCCAAAACGACTCAACTTTACAGTTTGCAAGTGGTGACAACATATAATTCTATGAATAATCAGAACATATCTGGGAATCTTCCATATATGACTGGGTTATGCTTGTAGTTCTTCAAGCCCAGTCAAAAAGGGATTCCTTGGTTGCACTGTTAAAGGCTCCTTGAGTAGCTTATAATCTGACAACCACAATCAGTCACCACAATTGTCCAAATGGGTCTGAAATTTGGTTCTTCCCGGTGAACGTGGCCATGGAAAATCCACTAATGGAAATTTAATGGGAAAATCATTGGAAAATGGCAGTGATTTGGCTAAATCCATTTTCAGACAGGCACCGGTTGAAAGTTGCTTGCGCACATCTGTATATGTATATCCCCATATATGTAAATATGTATGTATATATTATATATATGTATATATATATATATGTAGATATATATAGATATATATATATAGATATATATATATGTATATAGGTATACATATATATATATATATTCATTCCGGTCCGTGTCGGTTATATATAGATTTACATATCCGCATATTGTTGGTTACACACATATGTGTATAGTTGTTTCATTTTTCTCTATGTATATACATATACGCACCCTAGATAGATAGAAAGATAGATTAGATTAGATTAGAGTAGATTAGATTAGAGTAGGTTAGATTAGAGTAGATTAGATGGACGGATGGATAGATAGAAAGATGGTCTTTATACACCCTTCCCTTCCCGTCGTTTCACTCCTGTCACCCGGGGGAGCGGCAAACTGCTGCAGCCGCTGCGCAGTGCACAGGGCACTGCTTAGCGCTTCACCGGCGCCGCCGGCTTCGCCCTCGTCCCATTGGAAACGGTGGGATTTCTCCAGGGTTTTCCATGTTAAAATGGGGGGTAATTTGGGTGGGTAAAACAATAATAAAACACCCACAAATGGGAATGATATATACACGTTTATACCACTTATGGTTTAATTCTTGTTTACAGTATGGTACACTGGTACGCCCGATGCCATACCTACTTGCATGGTTGCCCCATCTTCATATGGTGATCAATGGGCAAATAAGAAAGCATGGTGTCGCAGTGAATCTCCCGGATAACTACAACCTCTTTTGGGTATATTCTGTCTGCACTTTCGATTCCCCAAAACGCGAAACAAGAGCAAATGGTACATGCGGCATGCTTTTTCTTGGGCTGGCGGCCATCCAAAAAAATATGAAGGTTACCCCCCTCGTACCTTGCAACCATGCTTACATTCCATATCAACTGGAGCTCCCCTTATCGTAGAAACCTATGGGCTCACCAATGCCGAATTCTTTCATATCACCTTTGGTGGGGCTGCACTATCCAACCATTTCAAATGTTTAATCGCCAGGAAGTCTCGGACAGCCTGATGCTGACTCCATCCTTGTTGTTGGATGATGCGGCTAATGATCCTGGGTGCCGGCACTGGGCCTGAAACGGGTGACATGTAAAATAAGGATTAAATGGTGCATAGTAGGTCGTGTGCCTTGGCAGTTCAGAGGGAAGACTTCCGCTTGAGAAAACCGTATTCAGCAGGATAGTTAAGATTCATAAGGAACAAACAAAGCCATGATCCTAGCTGCCATGGATAATCAGGGCATGACTGGCACCACAACGGTAGCTTCAACCTCTCTGCCTCATCTTTATATATGCTTGCTATATGTGAATAAATATGAAAAATGCCATCCAGCTTGATGAAAAAAAACAGGATAAACTCAAACAATTCACTGACCTTAAAAGTTCGGCCATTTGGGGATGATTCATTTTTCAGATCATCATTAAAATGACGTCGCGACGTGAGGTCGTGATCAAATTTATCCAGATCTTTGGTTAATCAGGGGTAAAACCAAAAATACTAAATGATTGGTGGATAATTGATGGATAGCTTATAACTAGTTAATAGCTTTAACCATTGAATAAGCTATCCGTCTTATATTTCTATTATTATTGATAAATATCAATTTGACCTACCCCTCTGAAAAATATGAAAGCCAGTTGGAATTGTTATTCGCAACATATGGAAAAATAACACATGTTCCAAAGCACCAACCAGTTATGATATACCACTTAAAATAGTGAGAAATATAAATCCCTATTGCATCCCATTAAATCCCTATTTGTTGCTGGTTCCAAAGCACCAGCCGAGGAACTGGGTCGTGGAGATACCCTCAGTGCGTTTCAGCACCTGCGATGGTAAGGCCGAAATGGTGAAATACAACCATATTGAACGGCTAATTTTCCGCATATCATCTTATATCCCCATATTTTCATGGCTAAAATCTTTCTGCATATATATATATATGTGATTGTAGTCATTTAATATGGATTTTAACCCTCAAACTATAGGATTGTTTTTGCGGATATAAGTGATACATGATGATTGGTTGACGATTGTTGACGGGGTTATACTACCAATTCTTCATTTGGCATCGTTTTTAAAATTTGATGTCTAACTACTGTTGGGGGCTTCCTTCTGAAGGTGTCTGTTTTCAGCCTGCTTTTGAATCCGAATTGCAGCTCAATCCTTAAGGATTGCTATCTGAGTGCTATGCTTACTCAAGCATCTAGAAGACTGGACATCCGAGAATTTTGTCTATCTTGGGCCTTCTGAATTGCTTCCGCAGATTCTAGGCACATTTTTTTTGCAGTTCTCCATTCCCCTGAATATTAAACACCGTATGCCGAAGTGAACATATCACTAGAGCCCGCCTGGAAACGCTTCTCCTCCACCACTGCGCTGTACATGCCATGGCCGCCTGGCCAGACACGACCCTGGAAAAGCACTGGGGCAACGAAGGTTCCCGCCTCTACAAACGGGCATGTCATCGCCATGGCAGACCCACTTCACACGGAGCCTGGCGGATATGACCCAAAACATGGTCGATATCATCATTTTCTGTCAAGATCAGGAATGCACCGTAGTTGAAACTGTCCATCTCTGAATTTCCAACATTTACATATCAAAATTCCATTTTTTGGGTGTAATACCACGCTGTGGGGAGGGTGCCTTTGCTTTTCTTGAGAACTACGTGCCCTCCGGTCATTTAACCGTCTGCCATGGTACGTATGTTGTGGTATAGATGGCCCATTTAGATCGATGATTTACCTCTTAAAACTCAATTCTTAAATCAGAATGAAATATAAGTGCAATTCTAGCCAGTTATTTTAAATCACTAAGGTATAATCACTCAAACATGGTTATTTTCCATGACAAAGTGTTACCAGAGAGTAGCACTTCTTGGGCGCGACGTTGGGCATCCGTGCGTGTCAGCCATCTGCACTGAGATCTGTGTGTATGGCAACTGCGTGACGAACCTGGGCAGGATTTTGTGGGGATTCCATGCGGATGGTGATCTTCATTGGAGCGCACAGGAAGCCTGGGCTTTTCATCAACACTGGTTATTTTTTGTCCGTTCCACAGATGTTTGGCTACAAGGTGGTGCCGCCGGAATCGCTCTCCGGGGCAACTGACATGTAAGTAAGCACACAATAGGAACCGTAAGAGTAATGATACTGGAGAACACATCATGATGATGTAATGACCATGGTGATGATAATGAAAATTATCTTGACGATGATCGAACTATGGTTGATAAGATCTTTTAGAAATAATCCAATGGGTGAGCAAATGGGTGAACCAGCCTAGTCGTGAAGGGACCATCCAACTCCCACATTTCAATATCATTTTTCTTGTGCACGGGGCAATGTGGACCCTCTATGAATGCCTTAAGGATCCTTAAGGTAAGGCCGGTATGAATCATCTATGAACTTACAATGGTGTTTCATGGTTTTCCTCATCTGAATCATTGGTGTTCAGGTTGAGGTGACGACGCTTTCGTGATGAATTTCCCCAAAATCATCAAGAATTCTTCACCATATCACTGTCATATCACTGTCAAATCACTGTCAAATCACTGTCATATCACTCAGCAGACATCCGTTCAACGCTGAATCGCAGGTGACCTCCCAGGACCCAATGCCATTTTTTCTTCGATTGCGGGATCAGATTCCAACTGAAAAACTACCCAGAACCCTGATTCCCCCATTGATTTCTGATAACCTACCCATAGAAAATATCCACCTTGTCTGGATTCAACCCCATTTTGCTGGGCCACCTCCGTTAAGACTGGCACTTGGGGCCACGACTCGTCGACCCACTTTGTAGCCTCGAGAATAGCAGTTCCTCATCGGCGGTTTTCCGGGGATCTGATGGATCTGATGATGAAATGAATTCAATCTGCGACATGATCATTAATGGTCGGAAAAACCGTTCTACAAAGTAATGATGGTTTTGAAGTCATTAATAGTTCTAGATTCTACATCGTTGATGGTATTCTGATGGGTAAAAACCTCCTATCAATCATGAATCTCAATGGGCTGATTTTCCAAAGCTGCCCGTGACTCATTTGATTCATCATGTCACTGCGGCTTCACAAGAAACAGCATTGTCAGGTCATCAATGGAAACCAATGGAAACTGGGCCGAGTTAGTGGCTCTCGGGGACTGTCATCTGAATGGAATCCCTGGATCTGATTTGGTGGTTCCCTCTTACCCACCCCTGTTTTCACACCAAAATAGCGTTGGCCTAAATGTCCGACCCCCCTCAAAATGGGTATGGCTGATGGATTCAGTTCCAAAATCTCATCTGGAAATCACCGCAAAGACAAAAAGGGTTTACCTGTGGCCCCGGCTTTCGTCGTTGGACATCATCGGAGGTCCCTTCTGATTGCCTTCAGTATTGGAATGGCCGGAAAATGCGCTTCCACCAGAAAACCACGAGTCTAATGAAACGATCAAAAAGGTGCTTCAATTAAAGAACATATGGGGGAGTGTCGAGAATTACCATGACTTGAAAATCATCATGACCTGAAGATCGCTGTGTTTTCATATAAAAACATTGGGAATCAAACGGCCGCATGGAGATTTCAATGCCAAATACGTGTCAACATCACCAGCAGCAAACAAGGATTTTCACTGCGTACCACAACTGGGGGGCATCTAGCAATGCTGTTGGTTGAGCCACCCATACCATTAGTGTATCATGGAAAAATATAACCAAGTAAAGTAGAGACGTTGACCAGCAAAAAGGCAAAGAGGATGCCAACCGTATCTATCTTGGGGAAACCCAGGAAAATTCTACTTACCAAAGTGATTACATCGGTTGAGACCCCAAGAACTTAGGGTCTACATATGTATCTGGGGTCATGTTCACACATATGGAAATTCCTATGCGAAATGCTGCTGTCATTCCTTTTGGTAGGTTAACTGGCAATATGTTTTGCTCTCTACCCCAACCCCCTCCACCAAGTCGCCTGCAATGGGTTCGCGTGAACAATTGGGCATCCCAGCAAAAAATGACAAATTTAATCAGGACAATGGACACCAGTTGTGGAATTTTGCAGGGCCACTGTTCAGACCACCAAATCAAACCAATGATCCCTGCGGTTCCATCCCGTGAATCGAGCAGCTTATCGCTTCATCTGAGTGGATCCCCGCCACCATAACCACCTGAGGCCCCATAAGTCGTTGGGGATCATCCCAAGTCACAGGGTTTGATGGTGCTTATAAGGCCTTATGTGTTGGACGGAGTACTCGGAGTACCCTGGCTTTGCGAGATTTATGATCAAATTCCTCCAATAAGTTACGGCTTGTGGAAATCCCACATTGTCAGGTAAACTCAATCGCCGTTCCCCCGAGTTTCGCACCGCTCAGAAAAAATGGAACATCAAAGGAAGGAACGAGTTGCTCTTAAAGATGCAGCCTGAAATGAAACATTTTTTTCATTTTCGCGTGAATTCACCAAAGGGAAACAGTGTGCATGCTTGACCCTGTCATCCGGCAATGTTGGATGAAAGCAAAAAAACAAGATGAAGCCCACGAACCCGAATGCTCACACGTATGTTAATGGTACAGATGTCAATACACATGGTTATGCAGTGACGCACAATACCTTTCTGCAATAGTTTATTTGAACAGTCTTGTGCATGTTTCCCTTGTTACCAGTCTGCAGTGTGGAGTGGAAAGTGTAGAGTGTGGAGTGTGGAGTGTGAAGTAAGGAGTGTGGAGTGTAAAGTGTGGAGTGGGGAGTGTAAAGTGTAGAGTGTGGAGTATGGAGTGTAAAGTGTAGAGTGTGGAGTGTAGAGTGTGGAGTGAGGAGTGTAAAGTGCAAAGTGTGGAGTGTGGAGTGTAAAGTGAGGAGTGTGAAGTGTAGAGTGTAAAGTGTAGAGTGTAAAGTGTAGAGTGTGGAGTGTAGAGTGTAGCGTGTGGAGTGGAAAGTGTAGAGTGTGGTGTGTAGAGTGTGGAGTGTAAAGTGTAGAGTGTGGAGTGTAAAGTGTGGAGTGTAAAGTGTGGAGTGAGGAGTGTAAAGTGTGGAGTGTAAAGTGTGGAGTGTGGAGTGTTGCGTTGAAAGTGTGGAGTGTAAAGTGTGGAGTGTGGAGTGTAAAGTGTGGAGTGTAAAGTGTAGTGTGGAATGTGAAATGTGGAGTGTGGAGTCTAGAGTGGAAAGTGTAAAGTGTGGAGTGTGGAGCGTAAAGTGTAGAGTGTGGAGTCTAGAGTGGAAAGTGTAGAGTGTGGTGTGTAGAGTGTGGGGTGTGGAGTGTAAAGTGAGGAGTGTAAAGTGAGGAGTGTAAAGTGTGGAGTGTCGAGTGAGGAGTGTAAAGTATAAAGTGTGGAGTGTGGAACGTACAGTAATGTGGAGTGTGGAGTGCGGAGTGTGGAGTGAAAAGTGTAGTGTGGGGAGTGTGGAATGTAAAGTGGGGAGTGTGGAGTGTAGAGTGTGGAGTGAGGAGTGTAAAGTGTAAAGTGTGGAGTGTAAAGTGTAGTGTGGAATGTGAAATGTGGAGTGGAAAGTGTAGAGTGTGGTGTGTAGAGTGTGGAGTGTGGAGTGTAAAATGTAAAGTGTGGAGTGTAGAGTGTAGAGTGTGGAGTGTGGAGTGTAGAGTGTAAAGTGTAGAGTGTAAAATGTAGAGTGTGGAGTGTAAAGTGTAAAGCGACGAGTGTAAAGTGTGGAGTGAGGAGTGTAAAGTGTGGAGTGTGGAGTGTGGAGTGTAAAGTGTGGAGTGTGAAGTGTGGAGTGTAAAGTAAGGAGTGTGTAGTGTAAAGTGTGGAGTGTGGAGTGTAAAGTGTAGAGTGTGGAGTGTGGAGTGTGGAGTGTAAAGTGTAGAGTGAGGAGTGAGGAGTGGAAAGTGTAGAGTGTAGTGTAAAGTGTGGAGTGTGGAGTGTAAAGTCTCAGGTGAGGAGTGAGGAGTTTAAAGTGCAAAGTGTAAAGTGTGGAGTGTAAAGTGTAGAGTGTGGATTCTAAAGTGTAAATATGGAGTGTGGAGTGTAAAATGTAGAGTGTGGAGTGCGGAGCTTCCCCCATAGACGACGACGCCGCGGGAAAACCAGAAACTCGAGACGAGACACGTGGGTGCAAAAAAATGAGCATTTCGTGCGAGACTTCCTCCAATTTTGATATTTTCGACACGTTATCAAACAGGTTGGAATGTCACAAAGTGCCACGCCTGCCACGCAAAAGGACATGACAACCTGCTTGGACACATTCAAATAGGAGATGTTTTCCAGCTTCCCCCATAGACACGGCGAGGCCACAGGAAAACCAGAGACTCGAGACGAGACAGGTGGGAGCACCAAAACGAGCATTTCGTGCGAGACTTCCTCCAATTTTGACATTTTGCAACATGACAAAAGGACAAGTTTTGCAGCTTCCCCCATAGACACGGCGAGGCCACAGGAAAACCAGAGACTCGAGACGAGACAGGTGGGAGCACCAAAACGAGCATTTCGTGCGAGACTTCCTCCAATTTTCACACTTTGTAGCTTCAAAATCGACAATTTCCTAGCCAATGCGATTTGCAAAAAACACGCAACACGACACGTCTAAAGTGCTGCGCCTGCCACGCAAAATGACGATGGACACGTCCAAAGTGCTGCGCCTGCCACGAAAACTGCAACACATCTTCTGAAAATGTCGCAAAAGTATTGCGCCTGCCACACAAAACGACTTTCGACACGTTACAGAACACGTCTGAATGTCACGAAGTGCCACGCCTGCCACGCGAAACGAAGCAACGAGACGTCTGAAACTTCCAAAAATGACCACCGCTGCAGAACTTACCATAGGCACGGCCATATGTAGCAATCGCGCGAAAGGTTGCGAACGGTTGCGGACGGTTGCGACCACAAACGCAACGTCGAGCGAACACACCCTCAACCCCCAGACCCCCAGAGTGAAAAGGGAACCCTTGCTACGCATTCGGGAATTAGCCAACGTGGGGCAATGGCGGGGCCATTCTGCAATCCACAGCGCAGACGCAACTAGAACCAAGGTCTTGGCTTGTCAACCTCGAACCACCATTGCAGGACATGTAACCCTGCAAAATCAAGACAAAATCTGTGTGGGAATTGATCAGCATCAACAGGCTCAACTCAGTTCTTAAAAGGAAATTACGCCAGCATAGATCCCAGATAGTGAACAAAAGCTTTTGTAGGCAGTGCTTAAATGGTTTTGATAACGCGCACAGCACTCCAACACAAGCACCCTGCAGCGGCACCCTGCAGCGGCCGCAGAGCGCAGTCCAAAGCGCACACACACACAGCACTCTGACAGCAGCACCAGCAACTGGAAGCCCCAAAGTGCACACAGCACGTTGAAAGCAGCAACCTACAGCAGCACCAGCAGCCAAGCTCCAAAGCCAGAACAGCACTCCAACACAAGCACCCTGCAGCGGCACCCTGCAGCATCAGCAACCCAGCTCCAAAGCGCAAACAAGACTTGTGATAGCAGCACCTTGCAGCGCCACTGCAGAGACACCGGTCGGCACCAAAAACCAAGCTCCAAAGCTCAAACAGCACTCCAGCACAAGCACCTTGCAGAGGCACCCTGCCGCGCAGCGGCACCAGCAGCTAAACTCCAGAGCGCAAATGGCACTCTGACAGCACCTTGCAGCGGCACCCTGAAGCGGCACCAGCAACCAAATTCCAAAGCGAAACAGCATTCTTACAGCAGCATGTGCACCGCAGCCGCGCGAAAAACACTTTAACACAAGCACCTTGCAGCAGCACCCTTGCAGCAGCATTCTGCACCAGCGACCAAGTTCCAAAGGGCAAACATGCAACTCTGCTTGTATTAGAAGTAGGAACCCCGGTTGCCTTGCTACCTCGGGAAAAACCCTTCAACCAACACATTCCCCAGACTCGTGGGCCGCAAAGACTTGCTGGCCTTCTTGTAGCCCTGCTGGAAAAACAGCCGTTTCGCTTGCCGCAGGGCATTGAAGTGACCCACCTGGAAAAAATTGGCTGGTGGTCGAAACTCCAGTGCAACCAGCTGGGAACATGTTTGAAACATCTTGAAAATCATCATCCTAGGTTGAGCAGAAACACCACATTTCAAGCGGATGCGGATTCCCAGGGCTTTCCCAACACAAACAGCAAAATGCCGAGGACATATCCATAGCAGCAAAATCTTGATTTGTATCTTGTGCAAGGCCACACTTCTAGGGATCCAAAGTCTTATACTTTGAATGGCGTGTTGCTTGGGGTCCCTGTCCGTCGAGTCACATGCATCAAATCGAAGCACCCATTCAGAAGGATCCGGACCTGACGCTCGCACTCGGCTTTCACTGTGCCCAATGCTGCCATGTCAGCCAAATGCATGAGGCGGGGTCCTGTGGAGCTCTAGTGGCACATGAATAGCTATACGTGCTGGAACCAAACCACCAACGCAACCACACCCCAACTTGCTCAGCTGGCTGCCCAGAAAATAGGGCATCGTTTGGCAGCTTAACTTCCCCAGTTGATGCCAAGTTTGGAGTGCCTAATTGTAACGGTTCAACCTAGTTTTCATGCCAAAATACTTGATATACAGTATCGATGCTTTTCAAACAGGTGGTGTAGCTGGAGGTCCAAATATGGGGGTTAAACGGGTATTCAGACACATCCCTATGGTAAAATCGTAAACTCTAATCTACCAACTTCCAAGCCCAGGTGCCGTATCTGGATCCCGGCTTTGCTGCTCCACCAGCTCAAGTGGAGGGCGGTGCCAGTAGAAGTGGAGCCTCGGTTCGTGGAGACCTGGGCATTCCTTTCCTCTTTGGGCTTAGCCAATCCCAATGAGAAATTGAAAACCGCCTTCATTACAAAAACATATTGCAACTAAATTGAACTAAGTAAATAAATAGATAAATCAAAAACAGTTAAATAACAAAATAAACAAATAAAAACATATTTTCATATACGTATGACATATGTATACATACATGAACAAATGCATGAGATATTCTCGAGTTTCTAGCCGCAATATGTATGCAAGTTGACGCTCCTTTGATGCAACCGGTCGTTTTATGCCAGAAACGGGCTCAAGTTCATTGACCTTGGCCTCATTGTTGACCTGTTGCGGTTCGCGTGCACTTGATTGATATTGGGAACCTGACATAGTGCTACTTAATACAGGACGCTGTGCCAAGAATGAGGTAATCAGCATGGGTCACCGTGGTACCCTGGTTTTTATATCAAGGCTGGAAAATAGATGTTCGCATGGAAAATCAAAGGCTTTTGATCCATCCTCTCCCCATTTCCATCGAGAATGCGTTGTCAAGGGGTGATCGACTTTGGACTGTTGGTACAAGGCTGTTGCGCCACAGGTAGCTAAGTTGGTTTGTAACTTGCTTAACTTGGGTTTTTTCTTGTGATTATAACTGTAGCCAATGGGGTTTACAAGCTAACAAACATAACCGGGTTTCCT